GCAAAGCGGAGAAGACGTGATTTTTGTCCAGCTTGTATCCATTAAGAACACCTTTAGCGTACTCAGCTTTCACTTTGTCGGGAAATTCAATAAATACGCAGCCCTAAACATTGCTTTTATAAAAAGCTAATATCACACTTTCAACACACTTGCCTTGCTTCCTCCATCCTCCGAAGGTGGGAAATAAGCTTTGTGATCCGGCTCAACATTGGTGAAGACCTTGCTAAGGACAGTGCGCAACTTGGCAACTCTGTCTGGTCCCACAATAGGAAGACCAAAAATGATCAAACAACACTCTTCGTATTCTTCCATGGAAGGTTTTTGTCGAAGTACATCCATGACAAGCTCTAGAAATGATTTTTGAAAATTTACATCTTCATGAGCTAGACACTTAAGTATCCCTGTTGCATCGACGCCTCTTTACCACAAAATCTCCCATTAAAAAGGTGGCTAAAACTGGGTCAACATGAAAAATAAAAAACCGACAAAGAATCGCACCATACCTTCATCAGTGATGTCGTCAACGAAGTCTTCTGGATCGGAGAAGTCAGGCTCCTCTTCATTTTCTTTATTAACGTCTATTTCGACCATTATTGCTGATACGTCGCCAGAGCCAAAACTCGACGGTTACCTGTCATAAAAACAATTGATAAAATAGATCTAAATAGTCCCTATCAAGTCGTCATCGATCCACGACAGAAAGATTTTTTCAAGTCTGCTCAATAGGCCGGCTTTAAAGCCATTACCTATACGCCGCCAGAGAAGCAAAAAACAGCACAAACAATTTGTCATTAATTAGGCGATGAGGGTTAGCAAATAGTGCTATCGAGCAAAGGGCATCATGTTCAAGTAAAAAAAGGCTACACTGACATTTCCCTGGAAACTACGGGATGAACTTGGTCCGCTCACTGACAGGCGCAATATACACGTGTTACCAAAGATATGTCTGGAATCTTGACCCACCGAGAAATCACGTCATGGTAGCGGGACTGAACGGTTCAGAGTAAAAAAAAAGGTGGGACCAAACAACCACTCTAACAAGAAGATGATAACAATTCGAACTAGACCCAAAAGAAGGAAATCAAAGCTTAAATGCGCTACTAACTTAACTAGAAGACCGTAGATCGGACCGAATAGGTATCAAAAGTGTGCAACAGCGCGTTACAATTACAAAATGGTACGCAAAATTGCAGACAAGAGTCAATACCGTAAGCTTAGTGCTGCAAAGAGACGTCTTTTAATCGCATTCATGACCGATGCAACACAACACACATACGTGAGATTCGGGGTTTGGCGGAGTCGTTCAGTTTCATAAGATAGGCTAATGTCATAGTTTGCGAATCGAGCGACATTACTATCGATCGCTGGATGCGCCTGCGCCAAGCGAATTTCACGATTATGCCCCAACGAATCGAACTAGTCGAACTGGGAGCGCAGAACGGTATACCGTAGCACCACGGGATTGGTTTCGAAACTGGTTACAAGGCTTCTGTCAACCAGGGGTGAGAGTGTAGAAGGAAAAGCAGACGTTCTTTGTGGTAGTGGGACTAAGCCTTTTAAAGGAGGTAAAGAAAGCGGAGATTCTGTAATAGTGCGCTTGTGTGAGAGCTCCCAGACAGCACAACAAAACGCTGAATTGCCTAGCCTCACCGGAGACAGATGTCCAGAGCTCCCGTGAACGCGCCATGCTCATCGTGACTGCCCGAGCCATGTTGCGCCATGCTTTGCACAAGCTAAATGGATTTCATTGACAAAGTGGGAGCTTGCACCGATATAGAAGTTTGACACGTTGAACCTCTATACCGATTTTCCCTGTGAAAACGTTGAAGGTATTAACTTCACATCACGTACAGCACATGCTAGAACCTACCGAGGTAACGGGAAAAGGCTACTGGATCTCTACGGATTTGTCTGATAATCGGCTAGTTCTGACTTTCAGCAACCTCAGGTGAGCACGACCTCGTGAATTGAACGTGACCTGTCGCTAGAGGCTCATTACCAGCGAAGAGTGGAATCATCAGTTCCCCAAAGATTTGTTTTTTTCGTGTTTTGTACCAGGAAAGAATAGGTGTATTGTATTGTATTTGCTTCATGTTTGCGATAGAACCAAGGAATATGTCTCGCGCCTGGAACTTTCACTTTGCCTCCGTATTCCCTGACTAGCTGGACAGCTTTACCCTTCGGCTCATTTGTAACTTGTTTCGACACTGTTTTATAAAGGATTTGACCGTTACACTTTCCTAACTCAGTACCTTTTAAGTGATCGTATTGCTCTATGTGTTGATATCCCAAGCGCATTGTGAGTAGGTGAAGTCCGCTTCACAATTACAACATGTCTATCGTAGACACGGCACGATTAGGGAAAATCCTATTTCAGCTAATTTGAACTCCTTTAGAGCAATGTGCCATTTCAATCTGATCGATCTTTGAATGGAAGTCAGGATTTTCGGTGTACACCTCGATCGTACGGGATCTCTCACTCATTTCACAAGGCTCCTATCCAGAAATTTCTGCCGACATCAGTTGGACGGGTGGAGGATAAGCTTCCTCGTCACACTTCGTATCACGCTGAAGAAGGCGTGAACTTACTGTAGCTTCAGAGTAATTGACATCCTAGCTAGGGAGTACATCACAACACTTGTAACCGATTATTGAGCTAAAGCAACAGCCCACAACATCCAATCACGGTGTCAATCGCGCACAGTGTCAGTTCACGAAACCCTACAGTAAATACAGCCTATAAATAGGCGTGCGTGCAACATTTACAACAGAATGTATGTCCCAGACCGATTGTAAACAGCCAGAACCCTTGTTTAAGGCGTGTACGTGTATGTGTATATAAAATGATTCGAGTTTTATTGTTATCTTCTACAGTGCCTGACAATTTCACTAGTATCATCTCAACTCCTAGTGCCCTGTGCGAGCCAAAGCATCGTTAAGTACGTTCTCACGTTCCGCTGCTTGTAATTCTTGAAGATTTCTAGCCTGAACATTAGGAACTTTGAACGCTAAGCAATATTATGAGCACTAAAAACTGAACCCATACCTTTCTCTTCTGGTTCCATTTGAAAAGGAAATAGATTCCTACATAACTGGCCATAGCAGCACGGAATATGTTCGCTCGTCCAAAATGCTCATGAGGGTTCATGTATGCCCGCTTGGTAGTGACGACCTGATTCCAGAACCCACGAACAGCCTCCATGTCTGCGCTTTTCGTAAACTCAAAAGCCAATTAGAATCCTCCTAAAGTTACCGAGATGGAGGAAGGAATTTTAGGAAAGGTACCCTTATCACGTGACACAAAGTTGCAAGCTAATTGGCTTTTATAACACTTCGAGAAAATTGGTTAATACGACTCCAAGTCACATGAACGCAAATACACGGTTACTAAAAGAGCAGCTATCAACGCAGTGATGCCTTCAAAATACTTCGCAACAGTAAAACGCTACATAAAACCGGCTTCTAAAAGATATAAAATGTGAGTGCGCCTTTCAAAGGCAAATCTCAGCAATGTCGAAGACCAAGCAACAAACTGAATCGATAAATACTCCGCATACATACAAACTACAATACTATCACTGAACATTAGTGAGGACTACGAACTTGGGCGTAATTAGAACGTGGAAAATCTGAACATTGAGCACCCACTACTTGAGAACAACACAGTCGGCTCGACAGGAAAGACACGAACCACCCTGACGGGCTAACTCCAGCATATTGTATCACGCAAAGAACCACTTAAGTCATAATGTTACATATGAAAAGCTTATCTACACGAAAGCAATGCTTTAGCAAGTACTTTGGCAAGTGAATTATAGTGGGTATTGTCACAAAGAAGAAGCAACCATTCAGCAAACATTTGCACATCCGAGTCCTGCAAGCCCGGTATCTGCTCCGCCATAAGGACAATGAAGAGGACCTTGAAAAAAAAAACATTTGCAGTGAAAATAGAATTGATCGCAAAATGCCCTCCTCTAGCTGGTTTATTTCGTATACCGTAACATCAAAAAAAGCTGTCACTTCAAACAAAAGATGTCAATGTTTGACAATTGCCTGGCAAGGCATTTTTACAAATTTTAATGGAAGTGGAAAGCACATACCAGCCATTAGTGAAGTCAAGTTCATCGGGTGGACCAGCTAACCACCGAACGATACTTTGTGAAATAGCCTTTCGTTTAGCACACGCATACAAGAGAGTGATGAAAGCATCTCGACAAAACTAAAATCTGTTCTATATCAAAATTCTCCTGGAGGAGTTTCTCAGTCGATATTGGAAAGCAGTACTCACAGCGTTTTTGTTCGAAATATTCTCCTTGAGGGAGTCAACGTTCACTGCGGATGACAAAGCCATTAGTTGTTCCCTGCTCAGCTCCATTAGTCCAGTGAACATGTGTGGAACTACGTCGCAGTTTATCTGAACGGATTTACGTGTTCATGCTTGCCCTCATGACAGGTTTGAGTAAGAAAAATCTCATCATAAAACACTTAAAAAGTAATGCGGCATTTGCCCAGACAATTTTTAAAAGAATACTCTAGATCAGATTTGTTGTCATCGATTATATGAGATGCAATATTGAAAAGAAGAACAAAACAGAATCTCAAAAAAGTTTTGAAAGAGAAACTTACGTCTTCTATGCACCTCTTGGAGCACAAACTCATAACGGAAAATAACGACAAAACGATGCGAGCAACATCCCTGGGGGTTCCAACAGTAAGCGCTCGTGCTACCACGGAACGCCCTTTTCCTATCTGAAAAACAGCGTTCTTGAACTAAAAAATCTCAGTCGAACCTTTCCCCCCATCCTAGTTGAAAACTCTTTCAACCAAACTGAATCAGGAATATGACAGAGCCAAAATGTTATTTTCAAGCTATTCAGAAAGTACCTATGATAAGCCACCTGTAAACCCACATGATAAGGACAAAATTTTAATTACTATGAAAACATGATGGACCCGACTTTAACAGC